TATTGAAATTAACATTAACAAACATATTAAACAACTTCACTATGAAAATAAGCAAGTTCTATGTATGGACCTGCTGCCCTTGTCTTCTATGCATACTAGCCTTGTGACCAGGTTCTTTGCAAACAGAGCAAAGATTCTTACCACGGGTCTCGTTGAAGTCTCCCCCTCCGTACATGTCTTCGCCGTATCCTCTCATAGCGTCCATGGCCCCCTTGAGTCGCTTCTTCCTCCTCCTACCCTTCCCTACCTTCATTAGGTCTGGATGCGACATGTAGTCATAACCATGATAAGGGGCCACTGTGTCGGGTTAAGGTATGGCTCGAAACTCTTCTCCCATATACTAAGGGTGTTCGAACGGAGATACAGGGGTGACATATATGGCAGACCCTTGAAGTCATATTCGTGGACCCTGCAGGCCGTGATCATGTGAGAGCAAGAGGTATGCATGATCTGAGGGATGTTGCAACTGCACTTTACTTTATCAAGATCAACTCAGTAGTTTCGTCCATCATAACGTTCGCCGCCCAAGCTTGTGCCACCCTTCCCCCGTACACTAAACATATGCTGCGCGAGGTCCATATGGCTCGACGGTATGCTGCTTGGCCAATTCTTCAGTCTCCTTCAAATGTTTTGCTCCGGCCTTTCCAAATCGCCCAAGCTCAGCTATATTCCTCTGCGCAAGTTACCACCTCTTAACAAAATATTCGTTGCATTTGTGAAAGGCGAACTCAACAATTCCAGACACAAGCAATGATCGAACTCTGGTGAATACACGGTTGAAAGACTCTGACGAGTTGGTGGTCAAGATGCCGTACCTGAAACCGCCCTCGTCATATGCTAACGCCCACTTAGCCTTCTCTTCCATCTGCGCCTCTAACCAGGTCTTGCCCTCTTTGTTTAGCATCTTGTTTAGTCCTCTCTTTGTCTCCTTAAACTGGTGATCTGTACGTACACAACATAGAGGCTTTACCTTGTCACAAACCTCCTTCTTCCTCTGATGTCGCCAGAAATTAGCGGCAAAATGTCGCATGCACCATCTATGCACTAGAGGCGGGAACCCATCTATATGTTCACTTGCAGCATTAAGAATTCTTGGGAGACGGTCTGAGATCAAACATATAGTGCGAGATGAGCCAAGCACTTGTACACCTAGAAGCCACATGAACCATGACCACGATTCATTGTTCTCTCCCTCTGCCAAAGCAAAGGTCATAGGTACTATCTGGTCCTTTGGATCAACAACAACAGCCATCATCAAGGTGCCCCTATACTTCCCGGTCAGAAAAGTATCATCAACAAGTATGACTGGCCGACAATACTAAAATGCATGTTCCGTCTACGCGAATGACCAGAACACACGATGCAGGACATGCCTCAATGGATTCTCGAAATACATCCCTCCGGTGTCTATAAACCATTTCAAGCCAGGGTTATAGTAATAAATTGCACATAATATTCGGGAAACCCTGTTGTACACTTCCTTCCAGGTACCCCACCGAATCGCTCGGATATGGACTCTTCTAAGGAAGACACCGAAATATCGTTATTGTCATCAACGAGCCCCAATATACGACGGGCAAGTTAACGTGCAGTAAGCTGCTGATGATTTTTCTTCCCTGATTTGATAGGCAAGTGTGGGGTTCGACCACTTTACTTATTCTCCACTTACCATCACTCTGTCTCTTTCGTGCATTTAACCTCCACATACAACCATTTTTGCATATCACGTGGTACCTCAACTCCTTGTCCGAATAGTGACGCTGTACGGTCTGTGGTGATATATAGCATAGTCCTGAAGGAACATCTTCATCTAGAAAAATACGAGCACCCGTGCTAAGTCGAGGACTTAAATCCGTATAGGCAGGTTCCACCGTAAGGAATCTAACCAGCTGAGCTGGGAAGATTTAGATCGATTTTCTTATTCTTCGTTGACAGAAGGAAAAGGATGGAAGACACAAGAAATAAGTTTATGCTCAACTCCACCTATTGGAATGTTGGCCGTCGTTCGGTGGGCACATGTTCGTAGCCTTTTTGCTATGTGTTTGCATGTGCGGTCATCCGTATATGAATCGCCATACAGGTTTGTGATTGAGATTTAGAGTTATACGAACCGTGTGTACAATATAGATGAAGAACAATTCCTAGGTATATGTATTGTATTTCTAGAGTCTTTGTAAAAAAACTACGTATCTAAAGAAATTAAAACGTCTTACAATTTATGATCATTGATATCCCGGTTCATATGGACTCACTCGAACCGAACCATCGATGGGTGAAATGATATGATAGCTGAATAGATAATGGCGAGGTAGTGTTTGGATCCTTAGGCTTGTCACATTAAATGTTTGGAGGCTAATTAGAAAGACTAAATATGAGCTAATTTTAAAACTAATTACAGAAGCCCTGGACTAATTCGCGACACGAATCTATTAAACCTATTTAATCCATCATTAGTGAATATTTACTGTAGCACAAAATTATCAAATTATGAAATAATTAGATTTAATAGATTTGTCTCGGGAGAGGGTACTGCTGGCTAGGCCTTCACCCTTCTTCAGGCCTGTGCTCACGTGGGCGTGGACGCTCCTGGATTAGCATAATAGCAGGTGTGGATTGGTGTTGGTGGATCGTGTGGGCGTGTCATCGCCCAGCAGTCTCAGGCGCTGCCCCGCCTCTGAGCATCAGCACCTCACCCAGCAGTCTCAGTAGGAGGCGAGTGTGGGCGGTAGACACTGCACAGACGGACGGACCGACGTGTAGTTCAGCGTGCCTTTTCATGCGGTCGCTGCCCGTCTCTGTGCTTCATGTGCTGGTTCGGCAACTTTGCAGGGAGATTGACGGCACTTGCCTGCGTCCCGTTCGTCTAGGCTTAGTATGGCTCATAAACCATGATTAAAAGGACCGTTGACTGAATTGGTATGAGAAAAAAATACTATTTATTAATTAAAAAATATAATTTATAAGTCAGACCAGCTCAAAAGAAAAGGGCTTTGTATGGGTACGGCCGTACCTCCTGATCAGCCAAACAACAGCAGTGCGCTTCGTTTTCGGTCATTGACTGGCGTGACGGATACTCGACCTAATACCCCGTCTAAAAAACGCAATTCTAGTTTTAAACTCAAAGACGATGTGTGTCTACATTCAAAGCTACAATTTTTTTTTTGGGACAGAGTAACAGTACAATAATATTCTACAGTACCGCTAATGGTCTTTTTATGGGTTAGTCTGCCACTCTGCCAGTGTCATTGTGCGGTGGCAACAGTGAACAGCCAGTCAGCAATGAAAACTCGTGTTCTTATCGGAGAACAGTACCACTGTACCACTCAGCAAAATACAACAGTTCAACTAGTTTTTTTTACTCAGCAAAATACAACAGTTCAACTAGTTTTTTTTGGGTTAAATGCATCGTTGATCCATTAACTTTTACTCATATTTCACTTAGGTCCATCAACTAAGAAACTGGGTTTCAGGTCCATAAACTTTTGAAGTGATGCATCCGTAGTCCACACCCCTTTGTTTATCTTTTTAATCTGATGTGGTAGTCCTCGGTGTCGCTGATCTGTCTTTTGGAGCTGGTCCACGGTCAGCACAGGCAGCGGCGCCGCGTCCGGCTGCTCCACAGGGGTAGGTTCATGACCATGAACCGCTTCACGTAGCGGAGGACGAGGCCGACGGACGAGGGGTACAGGGCTACAGGCGGAGCGTCTCCGAGAGCGCCGCCTTGAGGTAGACGAGGGGGTGGCGCGGACTGGCGACGGCGAGGGCACGGAGGCGGAGGATCACCATCCGGACGACTGGCGCGTCGCGCTAGAGGACCTGCTGGTGGTGGCACAGCGGTGCGCGGAGATGAGCCCCGAGGAGCTATGGACCCGCTGCGAGGGCGTCGTGCAGGGCCTGGACGACTGTCGGCAGGAGCTCCCCGCGGGGCTCCCCAAGCAGGCGCACACGTGGATCCTCTTCATCCTCACGCGCTGCACCCGCTTGCTGCAGTTCCACAAGGGCGCCGCCGTGGGCGGGTGCCGCTATGCCGACGACGTCAGGCGCAACGTGCTCGGCCTGCACCAGCTTAGCGAGCTCGGGCTCTACCCGATCCACGTCGACGGCATGGACCTCGGCCGCAAGAGCACCTCCAGCCTCACCGAGCTCAAGGAGCAGCTCATCAGGCGGCGGATGCTGGAGCACAAGCAGCTCATCGTCGACAGCCCTACAAAAAAGCTCTTGGCGATGTTGTTCATCTGCAGGTACGCGAGGTCCTTGCCCAAGCATATCCTCGGGCCGGCGTTGAACGCCATGAACCTGTACGAGTCATGAGGCTCGAACCTGGTGCCATCGGCGGACAGCCACCTCTCGGGGCGGAACTCGAGGCAGTCCTCCCGCCACACCATCTTCATGCGCCCGCCGAGTAGATGGAGTAGGTCACCGACTAGCCCGCGGGAACGAACGTGCCGTCTAGGAGGATGCCGTTGGTGACAACGTGCTTGCAGCGCGGTCGCCATTCGCGCACCTCATCAAGCGGCTGCGCGGCTCAGGTCCTGGCGCCGCAACGGCACCAAGGACAGCGTCTGCAGCACCTCAGGGGACGCGGCCCAGCCGCCCACGGCTGCTAGCCCGCGCATGCGTTAGTGGCTACGGACATGCGCTGTAGAGCCACTAGCCGGCGACAAGCAGAAGGACAACGGCGCCAACGCGTCGTCGGCCACGCCGCACAATGACCTCCTCTCGCGCTTCATGCGCAAGGGGACCAACTCCGACGAGTCGCTGCAGCACGTGGCGTTCAACTTCATCCTCACCGGCCGCAACACCTGATACCTCCTCGGTGGCGATCTCCAGGTTCTTCTGGCTGGTCTCTAAGCACCCCGCCGTGGAGCGCAGGTCGTCCCAGTGCAACACCACCGAGCCCATCCGCTGCGTCCTGCCACCAGTAGTCCCACCACCAATCAGTAGCGGTAGCGACCAACGTTTTTTTTCAACAGAACCGAGGTGCAAACACTCGCCGCAGAATGCACCGGGCTCGTGTGGGCGGTGAGCTACTAGGACGCGCCGGCGCCAGCGCTGCTGCTGGGCGTGATCGAACTGGAGTGGTGGGTGGTGGGCGAGACGTGCTGCTGCTCGCGCCACGTCACCTGCACCCTGGTCACTACGCCGATCGCTGGGCAACAGGCGTTCCGGTGCGAGTGCCCCCGAGGGGTACAACGGCGACGGCTTCGCTGATGGCACCGGTTGCTGGAGAGGTCAGTGAGGCGTGCGCCACGCGGGCACGCGAGGGCGACCAGGGACGATAGCCGGTGCCATGACGCGCAGCTTCGGCCTCGGACAGCAGCTGCCGCGACGAGGCCGTCGAGGTCTGCAGCGAGCCGGACGCTAACGACGACGACGAACGAAGCCGACGAATGACGAGGAGCTCCCACGCCGCACGCACGCAGACGTAGGGACGTACGGACGCAGACTCAGGGACCTGCACGAACCTCTAGGCGGAGGCCGCGGTGGCTCTGACTGCCGCGTCGTACTCACCGGCGCCGACGTCGCGCGGGCGCACCTCCATTCGGAGCCCGTGCTTCATGAACAGCGTGAGTGACATCTTCTGCTCCACGCAGTGGCCCGGCGCGATGGCGAGGCGGCAGGTCACTGCTATGGAGGTGCGTCGTCCGTGCGCGGCGCATGTCGCCGGAGCAGGAGGCGACAGAGAGGGGGCCGCGGGCGTGGGGCGAGGCGGGTCGCTGGCAGGTGGTGAGCGCCGAGCAGAGCCTGCAATGGATTGTGGCGCAGCGCATGCAGCGAACGAGCGGGGGCCTCGTCGTACGCCGACACGCCAGGAGAGCACCGGAGCCACCGGAGCCCGAGCTCTCGCCAGTTGCTTCTTCAGCAGCCTCGTGCCCTAGGCCATGCGGATGTTGCGCGTGGCGTCGTAGGCGGACGCAGCGGCCTCGGCGGAGGGGAAGGTGCCGAGGCAGACACAGACGCTCTTGACGGGGTCATGGATCTCGGCCGGCCTACTTGCCTGTGCTCACCGTGGCGGCCAGGTATCGCCGCCCCCCTGTGGAGCAGCCGGACGCGGCGCCGCTGCCTGTGCTGACCGTGGACCAGCTCCAGAAGACAGATCAGCGACACCGTGGACTGCCACGTTAGATTAAAAAGATAAACGAAGGGGTATGAACTACGGATGCATCACTTCAAAAGTTTATGGACCTGAAAACCCACTTTCGTAGTTGATGGACCTAAGTAAAACATAGGTATAAGTTAATGGACCAACGATGCATTTAACTCTTTTTTTTTATACACTTTTCCTCACTCTCAGGCGCCTGAACTGTGAGTGTTGGCAGTCACTGTGTTGCGCATGAGGGAATACTAATAGTTAGGAGTATGACTGTTGCCTGAAAAACTTCTTTTTTTTACCTGAAAAACTTCTATATTTCAGACATCTGAAATATATCATATATTCCTTTTTTTATTTGGATGAAAAAACACAAAGAAGATGCGATCAAACTTCGCAAAAGCAGATTTGTTAGGCCGGGAGTAGTAGATTAGGCCTACTTAGGAGCCCGTTTACACATGTCCAGCCCAGCTATCTGAAAACTGCGTACGCGCGTTGTATTGTCTCGGGCCTTATAGCCCAGCCCGCCCAAGACGCCTTCCCTCGGCTGTTTTTCCTTCTCTGCCAGCCGCGCCGCCGCCCGCCTCCGTCTCTGCCAGCCGCCGCGATGGAGGCGCTCCACGAGGAGCTGCCCTTCGACCTCGACTTCCACCCGTCCTCCCCCCTCGTCGTCACCTCCCTCATCACCGGCGAGCTCTGCCTGTACGACCTCCGAACCACACACACTAAACCCTATCCCTTTCCAAGTTTCCCGTTCCGGTTTGCTTGTTCTTACCGCCACAGAGTAACCGCTTCCAATCTGGTTGGTTTCACAGGTTCGGCTACGGCCCGGAGTCGCAGCCTGAGAGGTACTCACGGAAGCTCTGTTACTGCTCCTGCTCTGTTAGTTTCACACTTGGAATTCCGCCGTCCGGTGCTCGGCACCGTGTTGCTTTGCTTGTGGCATCAGATTAGTGTTCCTTGGTTTTTGCTTAGTGTAACACCCGTGGCCGCCGGCGTCAAGCCGTCAACGTGAGCACTTCGAGAGGCACAGATCAGGAGAGAAGACGCCGGCGAGGGAAGCTCCTGCCTTAGCGTGTTCGTGTTACTTTTTACTTGTTCCATAGCGTTTGCTTACAAAGTCCAGGCATAAGTATGCTGGAGAGACACTGGCCCTGGGCCCACATTACAGACACTGAGTAACAAAGCAAACAATGAAAATACGCCAAGGTAATATGAAGACGCCTCAGTGTCCCGCTGTGTCACCTGTGACACTTCCCCCCGCCGAAGATGAAGCTTGTCCCCAAGCTGGAGCATCAGGAAAACGTTGCCGCAGAACATGATAATCCTCCCATGTTGCGGTGGATTGTGGGAGACCAGTCCAGAGAACCTTGACTTGAGGAATTATTGTATTTCCTTTCTTGACCAGACGCCTGTCAATGATCTTGTCCAGTACAGCTGCTGCAGCTTCCAAGTCTGTAGTGACTGGTAGTGTATCAAACACCGGAGTGCAGTCTGGCACAAATGGCTTGAGCTGTGATATGTGGAAGACAGGATGAATCATATTGCCCTGTGGTAATTCCAATTTATAGGCAACTGAACCAACTCGTTCCAGAACTGTATAAGGACCGAAATACTTGTATGCTAGCTTGGGAAAGGGACGGTTGGCCACTGTAGATTGAGTGTAGGGCTGTAGTTTCAATAACAACTGATCACCCATAGTGAAATGATAGTCAGTGCGTTTTCTGTCAGCCATCAGCTTCATCCTATTCTGAGCTCTTGCCAGATTTTGCTTGAGGGATTGCAAATGAAGTTCTCTGTTCTTAATGACTTCAGCTACTGATGGGCAAGTAGTTTATGGTACTTGAGGTACTGCACCCACATTTGGTTCATACCCATAAAGAGCCTTGAAAGGGGAGCAACCTAGTGAACTGTGATAGGAGGAATTATACCACAATTAAGCTAGTGAAAGCCAAGATTTCTAGGCCTTGGGAGAGTCTTGCACTGAACATCTGAGAAATATTTCCAAACATTGATTTACTCTCTCAGTTTGTCCATCCGTTTAAGGATGATAGGCTGTGCTCAAAGCTAAATTGACTTTGTACAGCTTGAACAATTGTGTCCAGAAGTGACTGACAAACACTGTGTCTTTGTCACTGACAATAGAATTTGGTAAGCCATGCAACTTCACCACATTATCCAGGAATGCCTGAGCAATAGTGCTGGCAGTGTAAGGATGCTTGACAGGAATAAAATGGGCATACTTAGTCAGCCTGTCCACAACTACTAAAATGACATTGTACCCATCAGATTTTGGCAAACCCTCTATGAAATCCATAGAAACATCTCTCCAAACTCCTTCTGGCACAGGCAAGGGTTGCAACAGGCCTGCTGGATGTTGTAATAGATGTTTAGCATGTTGACAGACTGAACATTGCTTGATATAACTCTCGACATCCTGTTTCATACCCTTCCAAGCAAAATGCTTCCTTAGTTTGTAGTAGGTAGGTGTAATACCTAAATGACCTCCCAAAGCACTGGAATGAAAAGCAGCAATGATCTTCGTTTGTAAAGATGAATTTTGGCCAATCCAAATGTTGCCATTGTGTCTAATGAGACCCTGCTCGAGACTGAACCCATTAGCATCAGGGCTTGATACAGCTAATTGTTTCAACAGCAGCTGAGCTTTGGGATCTGTGGTGTAGGAATTCAAGACCTCTTGAATCCAAACTAGCTGAACAGTAGAAACTGCTTGAACATCCATGAGGTGAGCTACTCTGGATAAAGCATCTGCAGTCACATTTGCTTTGCCTTTCTTATACACAATCTTAAAGTGGAAACCCATGAGCCTAGTCATAGCTTTTCTTTGCATCTCAGAATGTAGGTTCTGTTCATTGAGAAAGCTTAAAGACTTGTGGTCTGTGAGAATTGTGAATTCTTGTCTTTGTAAGTATGGTCTCCATTTTTCAACTGCCATAATCAAGGCCAAGAACTCCTTCTCATAAATGGATAGTGATTTGTGCTTCCTCCCCAAGAACCTTACTAAGATAAGCAATGGGTTGTCTCCGCTGCATCAAAATAGTTCCAATACCATCATTACAAGCATCAGTTTCTATAGTAAATGGCTGAGAGAAATTTGGAAGACCCAATACAGGGGTTCTGGTCATGGCTATTTTCACCTCATCAAAGGCCTTCTGAGCTATTTCAGACCAGGAAAACTGCTTATATTGGAGCAACTGAGTAAGAGGTTTAGTAAGCAGTCCATAATGTTTAACAAACCTCCTATAATATCCAGTGAGTCCCAGAAAAGCTCTCATTTCGAAGGATCGTAGTAGGTCCTGGCCAATGTAGCATAGCAGTTATCTTGTTTTTATCTGTGGCCATACCTTTAGAAGAAATTATGTGACCCAAATATTCCAGACTATCTTGAGCAAAAGTACAATTAGAAGATTTCAAGTACAACTGATGCTGTCTAAGGGTGGCCAAAACTTCCTCAAGATGACTAGCATGATCTTCTAAAGTGTTGCTATATATCAATATATCATCTAGGAAGACTAACACAAACTTCCTGAGAAAAGGTTGAAGTATCTGATTCATGATACACTGGAAAGTGGCTGGTGCATTAGTAAGTCCAAAAGGCATCACTTTAAACTGGTAGTGGCCGTGATGTGTCTTAAATGCTATCTTGTGCTCATCCCCTGGGAGCATTCTGACCTGATGGTAACCAGACCTCATATCCAATTTTGTGAAGAATTTAGAACCAGCTCATCCAATATCTCCTCAATTATAGGCATTGGAAATCTATTCTTTATAGTTAGGGCATTGAGTTTTCTGTAATCCACACAAAACCTCCATGTTCCATCTTTCTTCTTGACAAGTAGGGCTGGAGAAGCAAATGGACTGTGGCTGTGGCAAATTAATCCATCTTGTAGTAACTGTTGAACCTGTCTTTCTATCCCTGATTTATGGTGGGGAGAGTAATGATAGGGTTTTGAATTCACAGAATGGAACCAGAAGCAAAGGAATGGAGTGATCATAAGTCCTTTGTGGTGGTAATGTCGTGGGTCGAAAAGACATCAAGATATCTTGTGTCAACACATGTTGTATAGGTGATGGAATGATAGTGCAATTGGTAGACTGGTCTGCATCAGGATCTGGTCCACTAAGACAAAGGCCCAAATATCATTGCCTTTTGTGAAATTGTAGACTTTAGTTGCGATATGGTCGTCACCGCAGAGGTGGTGGATTGATGCCTTGCAATTTCACTTGCCATCCATTCACCGAATTCAAGAGTTTTAAGTTGCCAATCACACTTGCATTGGACCGTGGCGCCGCAACCAATCAAAACCTAGGATAGCGTCATAGGGGTGCATATCCATCTTCACATATATCAAAGAACCAAAGATGTATGACCGACAATACCATTCCAATTGCTTGACCATTTTATCACCCACTATCCACTCACCATTTGCAAGTTTTACTCATGAGGGGACATAGGCACAGCTTATGTGCCAACTAGTTGGGTGAACTGGCACTTACAAAGCTATGAGAACTGCCACCGTCCCAACAAAGTAAGCATAATCTTATTCTTGACCCTGGTTTTCAGTTTAATACTGTTGCTTGTATCACTGCTGGTCAATGCATTGAGGGACAATTGACAAAATTGGTCTGGTAAAGCATCCTCGATAGCTAACTGATTGAGAACATCATCACTAAGTTATCTATCCAAGTCATTGACCACAAGAGCATTGCTGTGTGCTTTGGTTCTCTTGGAGTAGACCTCATTATGTCCTGGTTCAAATTTCTCCCCACAGGTGTAGCACAACCCATTGGCCTTTCTGTAGTCTCTCAGCTGCCTATCCCTCCATAGAGTACCAGAAATTGGGTTTGGTTTGGTCTCAGTTCTGTGTTGTGTGGTTGGCTTGGTAAGTATATGAGCCTTCTGGTACTTGTGTTTCCCTCTATCAAGCACCTTTTGCTGAATTCTTGCTATCAGAGCAGCTTTGTGTACAGTGGTGGGTACCTGGGGCTCAACCACTGCCCTAATTTCATCTTTCAGTCCACTGACATAATGGGAGGTGAAGAAAAGGTCATCATAATGACAGCTATGCATAGTGATATCAAACTGCAATTGCTCAAACTTGGTAGTATAATCCTCCACAGTGCCTGACTGCTTGAGATCGATCAACTCAGTGAGAGCATTTCTATAATCATCAGCTCCAAATTGCTGTTCCACAGCCAAGCAAAAGGTTAGCCAAGAGATCTTAGTATGTGTCTGTTTATAGGCCTGGTACCACTTGGCAGCATTGCCCTTTAGATGCATTGTGGCAGAAGACACCCAAAGTCTCTCAGGCACATTATAGATAGAGAAATAATTGCAGCAATTGTCAATCCATATTTTTGGATGACTGCCATCAAACTTGGGAAAAAGCATTTTAGGCAGAGCATGATGAGGTACCCCTTCTCCCTTGTCAGGCTCAATTTTGGACCTGTGAGACTTGGACTGCTCAGGTTTCTTAATGCCCTTGTCCTTGGCAAACATGTTCTAGAAATGTTCTTCTTCATCGTCGTACACCAGGGAAGATGAACCATGACTGATAGATCTGTTCTCCTCTTCGAATTGTCGTAGTGTCTGTTGAGCCACCGCCTGCCCATTAGCTCTAACTTGCTGAGCAATGAACTGTTGATCTGCAGAACACTTGTCGACTTTTGCGTTGTTCAACTCAATTTGAGTTTTCATCTCCTGCTGGACAATACCCATATCTGTCATACGATTGAACAAGAGATCGAAATGGTCCATCACCTGGTCCCATTTGGACTGGTCATCATCAGCGCTCTTAGTCATCTGATCCAATAGAATTTGTGTATGCTTTGATGGTTTAGGATTGGAAGGCTTAGACGGAGCCGTGACTGAAACTGGTGAAGCAACAGGTTTGGATCACACCTCCCCTATGGTCTGCTCCACACAATAACTAATCACCGCCGCCTGGAAGTGAGGCTCGACCAAGGAATTTTACATGGGAACAGATGCCCCGCAACCCAAGTCGATGGACACTTCCCCTCCGAACGCCACCACACCGCAATTGAACCAGTTGGCTACGGAATTTTACACGAGAACAAGCGCCTCGCAACCCTCGCCACTGATTCAAGCGTGCTAGAATGAAATCGAGTGAGAGGTTTGAGAAATTCTCACAAACGGTTCACGCCACCGAACCAAATTTGTTGATGTAGTCCCCCAGTCGAGAATCGTGCCGTAGAGGATGAAATTGCCGACAAGCTGCTGGTGATTGCGCCCGCTCGAAGTCGATTGTTGCCGAAGAGAACCCGTTGCAGTGCCGCTTCACGGATGTAGGGCAGAAACTGCGCCGGATCCAGGTAACGATGGAGGAGGTGGGGTGGGTGGATGGTAAATTGGTGGATCTCGGAATAGACAAATCCGACGCCGCTAGCTGACCCGATTCAACCAAAGGAGGGATTTACGGGACCTCTCGCCCACACCACAAGGATGCAGGGTGGAGATCAACCCACCGACCAGAATTACGAATCGAAGATCGAAGCTGAGCGGAATCGAGAAACGTGGCCGAGGATAGACCGTCTCTGATACCATTGTAACACCCGTGGCCGTCGGCGTTAAGCAGTCGACGTGAGCACTACGAGAGGCACAGATCAGGAGAGAAGACGCCGGCGAGGGAAGCTCCTGCCTTAGCGTGTTCGTGTTACTTTTTACTTGTTCCATAGCGTTCGCTTACAAAGTCCAGGCATAAGTATGCCGGAGAGACACTGGCCTTGGGCCCACATTACAGACACTGAGTAACAAAGCAAACAATGAAAATACGCCAAGCTAATAGGAAGACGCCTCAGTGTCCCGCTGTGTCACCTGTGACACTTAGGTGTGTCCACAGTTATGTAACTCTGTAGTCGAGTTGAATTGCAACGGTAGAAATATCATATGTTTAGTGCATTCCGTAGTTATGGAGTCTGTCATTGAGGTTATGCACCCATGCTTTGGCAATTCGAAGATTGATTCCATATCGTAGAGATTGATCTCACTTCGTTTTTGTTTGATACTAAGGTTATTTTCGGTAAAAGCTCACAAGGAGTCATGCAGAGCTGTTCGTTTTGTGGACTCAGGAAAAGGTAATGCCTTGTTGCCTTTTCTTATCGAATGCTCTTATATACCTGCCAACCTGTGAACCCACTTGCACTATGTTTTATGGATTATTATATTCTGATCTTTGTTTCTAATTCTGCTATGCTTAAAAAATGATGCTGGAAAATTAGCTGCTTTAAGCTGGCAATGACAAACTGGAACTAATTGGGAGGGGATCACACCTTGATGCATCGTGTTGCATACCTTACGTCCTCTAACCGTTTCCTGATGGTTTTCTTGCTGTTGTGATTTGGTCCAGTGATTTTGTCGGGGTCAGCTGATTGCTCAGTCCTTGCCTCAGATGTAGAATCAGGCAAGGCCATTGCCCGCTTGGAGGATGCACATGAGTGAGTTTTGTTAGTTTTCAGTCCTAGTATTTATTTTGTTTGCGGAACTAAACATTGGCCCATTTGTAACTTGATTTTAGGAACGCCATAAACCGCCTTGTCTGTCTTACTGAGTCTACGATTGCCACAGGTGACGATGAAGGCTGCATTAAGGTATGAAGCAGTAAGTCTGCTGGCCTAAGATGTATAGGTGTTAAAATAAAGTTCAGTTTCATCATTTTGTTTCCAGTACCTTGACATTTTGGGGTCATACGAAAATAAGCATTAACAAGCTTATTTATATAACAATGCTTGTACCAAGGATACTAAAATCCGTGTTACAAAAATGTTCACTTATGTCTGTTTTTGGACTTAAGTGACGTTTATGACATGGCTCCTTTTGCACACAAAATTTGTTTTATATGCAATTATCTTGTATTAGATGTATAATGTAGTTTTTGACTTAGTTATCCTCATTCTTTTAATTTTAGGTATGGGATACCCGGGAACGATCTTGCTGCAACAGTTTTGAAGTCCATGATGATTACATTTCAGATATGACCTATGTGGCTGACTCAAATCAGATACTGGCCACAAGGTTTAACTAGATTCCCTGCATTTGATATGTATCAAACACAGTTGAAACATTGTCTGTATGGCAAACAACTAAAGATGATCACCGATCGTATTATTTTATTTCCTTTTTTTTGTCATGAAGCAGGCATAAATACTCCTGTTTTTAGTTCTGCACTTAACTGCTCTGCTACTTCATGCGGAGTAGTTATTAAGTAATTTGACGATGTGATTTTTTTATACCAATTAACAAAAAACATTCTATGAGTCACTAAAGATGTTTTTATTTGCAAAACGTTTGCATGTCAAATTTATCGACGTCTATTCTGTGCATGATACAATATGCAACAATATGGTAACCAAGGGTTAAACAATCTTTGTTTTCCTTGTAGTGGGGATGGAACTTTGTCTGTGAACAACCTGCGGAGGAATAAAGTGAGTTACCTTTGGAGTACATCGAGTCTTGCTTCCAGTGTGTTGAATTCGTGTTTTAGGACTTCTTATCTACGGTTATCATTTACCGATGAATTATTGTAAGTTAACTTGCAATCTTTTAACTGTTTTTAATTTAATACCAGGTAAGGTCACGATCAGAATTTTCAGAAGATGAGTTGCTATCCTTGGTGGTAATGAAGGTACCTATGTTTGGCAAACAGTTTTTGCTAGCAACATTTCTGTCCTGTTGTCATGATAATTGAATTTTATCTTATTCTTTGTGACTCTTAGAATGGTAAAAAGGTTGTTTGTGGAACTCCAAGTGGAGCACTCTTATTATATTCATGGGGATACTTTAAGGATTGCAGGTAACCTTGTTTTCATCACACAACATTAACTGCTGAAATAAAATAGCAAAAAGATAAAACTTCACTAATGAAACTATTTTGTCTAATGCTATTTGTATAGTACTCCCTCCTATCTAAATTATAGTTCACTTTGCCTTTGTCCTAAGTCAAACTTCTTCAGTTTGACCAAGATTTTACAAAAAATATAGTGACACCTACAAGACAAATGCATTATCAAAACTTATTTCATGAAGAAGTTAATGAAACTAATTTAATGTTGTAGATGTTGGTGTTTTTGTCTATAAACTTGGTTAAAGTTAAAGTTTGACTTCGGACAAAACCAAAGTGAACTATAATTGGAACGGAGGGCCCCCATCATTCCATCAACGTAGTTCTCTGGATGCGGCGTTCCCTAATATTGTGATGCCTAAATATTGCTTGTATGTTTCCTACCAATATTTTCTCTAATCATCATTGTAATTATCATAGGTGGGAGCTTTTTTGTTCTTATGGGTAATTTGATAAGTAGCTTTATTGGACCAAGTGTAATTCATTTTCTTCGATTATTCCAATTTGCAAAGATCTTGTGATCAGTAGCTTCTTAGAAGGATCTTGACATCTAATATTCGTAGCTTCCTAAACATGCCACTATGAGATGCCAGTCTGCTTCCTTCACTTTGTGTGGTTTAGACCCAATTAATTCTGCAAGTGATGTGGTCTAAAATTGTTCACTGGCATGTCTTTTTGTGGTTAGTGACCGCTTTCTCGGACACACGCAGTCAGTGGATACAATGCTGAAGGTTCGTGGGACCCAAACTTTATTATGACAACTGTCATTTCTGCCCTATTTGTGTATTCATTCTTATTACGGGTCGGCTTCGTGTTCTAGCTGGATGAAGAAACTTTGGTTTCTGGTTCATCAGATGGTGTGATCAGGTTTGGAATTCACAGCTGTTGCTTTGTGTTAACTTCTCACTTCTCAGGCAATTGCCTGTTAGTCTGACGGATTGCTGTTCTAACATGAAATCCTTGTTATTTGTGTAGATTAGTGGGCATCTTACCTAATAGGATAATACAGCCACTTGCTGAACATTCAGAATATCCCATTGAGGCCCTTGGTATGTGCGTCCATTTGATTGTGAGATCTGGTGGAAAAAACCGGCATGTTCTTATGACATATTTATGCTATGCAGCTTTCTCAAACGATAAGAAATATCTCGGCAGCATCTCACATGATAAAATGCTGAAGGTGACAATCCTTTCTCATTCTTATTGTTGGTGTGCCCATTCGTTGGTCTGACTTGACATCTTGTTTGTCGTATATGCAGCTCTGGGACTTGGAAGAACTCTTGAATGGTCCACAGATAGTCAATGGTGACGAACCTGCCGAAGCTGGTAGCGATGATAGTGATGACGATAGCGATGATGATGCGATGGATGTAGACATGGCCGCAACTTCTTCTAAAGGTGAGATTTTATTGAACTATGCTGTGTGCCATTAGCATGATAATCCTACCTTTTGGGTTCACATTTCTTCTCTGAAAGCTGTTTCTTATCTTCTCACTGGGGGGTGTTCAGGGTCAAGGAGTAAAAAGGCGGGTAAAGGACAGAGTTCAAGTAGGCCGGCATCAGATTTCTTTGCAGATCTATAGACGTCAAGTTCCAAGTTAGAAGCTGCGAGTTGTACTCTTTTTTTTTTGTTACTGTACGTGAGTGCGAGTGGGCAACTTTGACTGCCGGTGCAAGGCATGCCAAATGTTGTTTTTTAAGTATGTTGGCTGATGGAATATTAGAAGCAGCAGCAGTAAGTGTTGTGGGTTGTCTCCCAGGAAACAGGACCTCGTTGCAGTATGTTCTGCACATATATAAATAAATACTCCAATTGGCAATTTTCGAGTAAAGAGGGTTCTACATGAAAAATGATTTATTCTGGTATTTGGTTCTGTGAAGCATGGTTTTCGTAACAAAATGCGTCCTGACTTATTAAGCTGTGTACCATGCCCTGTAGCTGGTGTTGAATGGCTTAAGCTAGGGCTAGGCCATCCCGTCCCGTCGTAATAAGTCTGAAATCTATGGAATGGTCGTAGCTTGAAGCAGGTCAAGGACTCGCCTAGAGGCCAAGAGCACGCTGGAGCCCCAGACCGAAACAGAAAGTGTGTTGTTTTCATTGTTCGGCTGTTCCAGGCACCTGGGATGCGAGGTTCCCTCTCTGAATTTGATAAGAGATAATGGCAAAGGGAACCATCAGAATCGGGCAAACACAATAGCAAAGCCAGCAGTTTAAAATTATAAATTTAACCTTTATGATTAGCCATATTAACCATAGAGATAACTTTTAAAGAGTTTAAACTAGTTAAATTAAAGTAATTAATATTTATATCATTAATTAGTCATAAGTATAAATTTAAGATGATATTTTCATTTTGTGAATTATGCACGCAACACAGACAACAACACGCACACTCAACTCTATAAACGCATGCACGTAGCTACCCTATTGTTCTTCGTGGATACAAATAATATCGGAAATTTCACATTTTTCGAATTAGGACCTAGAATCGGATAGCGAACTATCAAAATATATTCAATTAGCATTCCATATTTAAATCATGTATAAACATGGATATCTATGCCTATATTAACGCTAAACCAGATAATCTTTACAATGTCGGTAATGCACCCGGGAGGACGTCCTGACGGACGGTTGTGGCTTCCCACTCGCAACCGCGCCGTCCGCTCGTTCCCGTCCGCGCCTTTTAAAGAAAATCTCTCTACCCAGGTGCTCGCAGGGGTGCTCGTGCTTGCCAACTGCTGGCCTCCTCGTGCTCGCCAGGCAGGGGGTACTCGCTGGCTGCTGGGCGCTCGCCAGAGGTGCTCACCGAGCAGGCCGCCGTACTCCCCAGGTGCTCCTCGCGTAGGTGCTCGCCCAACGTTACTCTTGCGGCCTAAGGCAGGTGCTCACCTAGCGCAGTGCCTCCGCTGGGGCACCGAGGAGCTCCTTGCGCCGCCGACGTCCGCAATGACGAGCCTCCATTCGTCCAAGCAGCAAGGTGACATTGCGCTGAAAGCGTATGTTTCAAGTGTTTTAGAGCCGTGTTGCAAGTGTTTCACATCGATGTTGCAAAAGTAGATTGGATGTTGCATACTCCCTCTGTCCCGAATTATCTGTCGCTTTTGGTTTCCGTACCGCAAGTTTGACTCAATTTGTAGAAAATACGTACAACATTTGTATCTCCAAATAAATTTATTAAAAAACTAGATTCAAAGGTCTTTCCAATGATATTAATTATGTACCATAAATATTAATATTTTTTTAATATATATTTTATCAAAGTTGTTTCTCGGGAAGCGAAAACGATAGATATTTTGGGACGGAGGGAGTATGTTGTAATGGCTGTGCACGCATGTTGCAAGGAGATGTTCCAAATGTTTCGTTTGTTTTTCAGAAGCATGTTGCAGATGTGTTTATTTAGATGTTGCATATGTTTCACGCATATGTTGCAAGTGTTTTATCTGGATGTTGCATATGCTTGCAATGGCTTTAAAGTGTTTTCAGACGTTTTGCAAGTGTTTCAAACGTATGTTGCAAAAGTAAATCTAGTGTTGTAAAAGTAGATCTAGTGTTGCATATGTTTCGGCTGTTCCAGGCAGGCGAGCAGACGCGACATGGCGGTTGGGAACAGACCAGCCTAGCGGGCGAGAAGAGGTGAGCAGGCGGGAAATTTTTTTATTTCTAACACTTTTTTTAAACTATTTCCAAATTTGACACTGTATTTTTTTTTAAATCTAACACTTTTGGCCGCACCTACTGCCACGGCACGGCAAAACAACGCTACCGCGCCGTGCATGGCGGCGCAGCAGGACCGGTGACGTGGCGATGACCCGGGCGAGGACCCGTTGACGTGGCAGGCTTTGTCGCGCCGGAAATCTAGGCGCGGGACTGCCGCGCCATCGCGCACGGCGCGGCGAAACCGTGTCTAAGCGATACGCCCTGGCTCCCTCCCTCCCTTTGTCTGTCATTGCGTCGAGGCCGGACGCCCATGTCCCGTGCCCGCACCCTTCGCTAGCGCTGTCCCTCGCTCCCAGGCGGCCTCTCAGAGGCCGTGCCGCTGCCGCCCACCTCCCCCGCCCTCCCTCCCTCCCAGTTGGCCTCCAGGAGGCCATGCTGCCGCCATTCACCCCCCTTGGGCGGCCGCTGCCCGCCCTACCTGGCTGCCTACCTACCTCCTTCCCCCAAGCTTCTCCTCGGCCTCCATCAAGGTATTCATGCTCTTATTTGTTGTTTGAACTGTGGATTCAAATATTGCGATTGGTAGCTAGGGTTTAGAGGAATAGTAGGATTGGTAGCTAGGGATTGGTAATGGAGGATCCGTACTTAGGGTTTGGAGGAAAAGATCAGTTAATTTTTTCTATGTGAAGGCTAATTAGTTAGTTAGAACTATCGGTGCGTAAGTATAGGTTATATTTTCTTTGTTTTAATGCAAATGGTCCACCTTTACATTGCTTTAGTACTTTTTTGTTTTACATTAATTTGTGATGTTTTGATTGATGTTAAATTACAACCGTTTTATTAGATGGAAGACATGTATCGGAAGCAGTTGTGGTAAAAACGGGTCGTCCTAGAGAATTATACCCCAACGTGTTTAGCAAAGATGCCCCCGTCCCTCCTGACCTCCATGTCCCTAACTGTGACTATGGTTTCCTGGCCGACGTGTTTCAATCGAGACATCCGGACACAGCGGCGCGTTGCTTCTACACATACAGTCATTTTAACGTAAGTGATTCTTTTCGTACCTTTTTTCTTTATTTGTGTTACTAGGTTACTAATATTTTATTGGAATATTGTTGTGTAGGCCCATAAGAGGTGCCTTTTCTTTCAGTGGATCGACGATCCGGACAAGTTTGACCCAAGGTACCTTCTTTTCGACAATTGGTGGAGAGGGAGACATCCACGTGAGCACTTCGAGCGGTGGGTTCCACCTCCCCCTGACCCCACCAATGATGGCTAAGGAGAAGCACTTAGCCATAGTTAGACAACTCGAGGAACCTCCTCTGTGTGAATACGGAGATCGAGCTATAACAAACCCTAGGAATACGCTAGAGTTTGTGTGTCCAAACAAGGATGAAGTAAGTGGAAAGTGTATCTGTTGAAATGTTGAGCTATATGTGTTCATGTACTAATGTCACCTTTTTTAGGTGTTTTCAATGGAGAAGTGTCGTTTCAAGGAGTAGCTCTATGGTCCTAAGAATCAATGGCCGGAAGAGCCACCAAAGGAAAAGGAAAAGAAAAAAGAAAAGGTAATTTACAAAGCACCTCCTGTCATATGCGAATGTGGTGTTAAATCCAACTATGGCCTAGTTCCTTTGGAGCTTAGAATAGGACATTATTGCGGCCATATGGTTGACTATGATGAGGTTGGTTATTGTTGTGGAAAACATGAAATCATTTTTTTCTTTTGCTAAGACTTATGATCTAATTTTTTGTTTCAACAGAGCACTAGGCAATGCAAGTGGGAATCTTCTGATGGCCAAGCTAGGTTCTTGGATGAGTTGAAGGGGAGGCAAGTAATTGCATGGAAGAGGGGATATGGACCTGACTATGTCGACCTCTTTGTTAAATAGCGAAAGAAGGACATGCGTGAGTTTGCTAGACAACGTGATATTCGTAACCCGATCGGTGTTAGGCTTGACAAATGGGGGTTGCAGAGACGGAGGGCGTTAGAGGAGGGGCAAGGAAGGATGCAAGGGAGGAGACAAGAGTATAGACGCAGGTCTTGAACAACTATGTTGTTGCATTGTGTGCCCGTGATTGATTGAAAGCCTTGTTATTTTCGTAGCCTGATTTTAAATGTAATATAATCGCATTGCTAACTGGTTGTATTTTATACATGAAGGGATTGGATGCAACAAGGACCATGCCACGGAGGTGGCCCATGTAAGGTTTTAGGAAAAGAAGTTAGATGAGCATAGAACACGAGCTGGTCGCACCGTTCAATCTCCGATTGTGTTGGCCGATGATGGGGACGAGGATGAGGACGGCACTGCTAGGTTAAGCGATCTCATTGCTCTAGCGGAGGGGGGCTTGTAGGCGGAGGAGGTTGAGGACGACATTGGCAGACTGAGTGAGCTCATCACTCAAGTAGAGGTGGGCTTGCAGGCGGAGGAGGATGAGGACGCGTTCTTCTCTCAAGCCGTAGAGGCCGCAGATGAAGTGGAGACCGCTTACTACTGGCGATAGGCAGATCAGGGCAATGCAGGTGAGCCTAGGCACATGAACGAGGTGGAGGAGGACGCGTTCTTGTCTTAGACCATAGATGAAGCGGAGGCCGCTTACTACAGGCGAAATGCGGATCAGGGCAATGCAGGTGAGCCTAGCCACAGCAACGAGGTTGTGGTACAGGATTGGTACTCGGACGACGAGTTGTTTACTCAGTATGTTTCTGACTGAGGATTCGGATTGTTCCTTATGGTAGTTCCATGCTTTAGTAATGAACGATGTTGTTATGTACTAGACCTTTCATTGTGTTGTCTTGTGATTCATTTGAAGTATTGATGTATTGTACCCATTTAACGAACAATGTATCCATTTACCGTACTATGGAGGCCCATGTGAGCAATGTTTTCCTAAACGGTAAACGGTCTTTACACGGTC